GCTCAGTGAGAAGGTTCCGAGATGCTGCCTAGGATGGACATCCAGGGACAGCTTAGTAAAAAACGTGACTGGCCCAGCAAATTCGGGACAGTTGGAAAGTATGATATAAGGCAAAATTATCATGGGGTCCAAATGCACCTGGGGCCCATGGGGCATGCCCATGCATTTAGATGACCAGGCACGTGGGATCCCTCTAGATCAGGGGTGACAAACTGGCGGCCCTCCGGCTGCTGCTAAACTACAAGTCCCATCATGCCTCTACCTTTGGGAGTCATGCTTGTAACTGTCACTTGCAATGCCTCATGGGACTTGTAGTTTGGCAACAGCTGGAGGGCCGCCAGTTTGACACCTGTACCCTAGAGAATAAAATGGTAGCAGTTCAAATTTTTTAATGTCCCATTTAGGAGCGCAATGGTTTATGAAAAATTTCAGTAAAAAATTCACAAAAGTTAATTTTAGGGCACACAAATGCAGTAGATTACTCAATTTTTGACATATGAAAGATGAGCATACGCCGAGGAAATGGATACCAAACATGTCATCCCGGAGTGCCCATAAAAGGGAGATGGACTTCAGTACCCTATATTTTCCATAGGTGGCGGTTATAAAGCCCTTACGGGTCATCAGCTTGGAGTTACCTGTGAATAATGGGCCGGGAAGCTTTGCTGTCGCTCTGGCGTGTGCGGCGATATGTAGCATGTGTAGCGCACACAGGAACCCCCAATGTGTGCATTTATGTTGGTACATTCATGAATTAAGGAGTGGGTGGGGGGAGGGCTAAAAAAACATTTTAAGGGGGATTTTAAGTGCTTGGGTGCAACTTAAATTTTTTTACAGTTTAATTATTTTTTTTGTTGTTTTTATCGCATAGTGATAGTCTCCTATGTGATGCATATCTTGGTGACAGGTTCTCTTTAAGAGAGGGTCCAAGACCCTCGATGTCTCACCTGTTCTCCAGGTAAACTAACAGAGTGCAGATCGTGTTTCTGGAAGTGACGGAAGGGGGGCTCTGATTTGATGGGGTACTCTAATGAATAGGGGTGACTGTGATGAAAAGGGGGGGGCTTCTGATGTGATGAGGGACTCTGATTTGATTGGGTACTCTTATGAATAGGGGTGACTCTAATGTAAAGGGGGGCTTCTGATGTGATGAGGGACTCTGATTTGATTGGGTACTCTCATGAGTAGGGGTGACTCTGATGTAAAGGGGGGCTTCTCATGTGATGAGGGACTCTGATTTGATGGGGTACTCTCATGAATAGGGGTGACTCTGATGTAAAGGGGGGCTTCTCATGTGATGAGGGACTCTGATTTGATGGGGTACTTTCATGAGTAGGGGTGACTCTGATGTAAAGGGGGCTTCTCATGTGATGAGGGACTCTGATTTGATGGGGTACTCTCATGAATAGGGGTGACTCTGATGTAAAGGGGGGCTTCTCATGTGATGAGGGACTCTGATTTGATGGGGTACTCTCATGAATAGGGGTGACTCTGATGTAAAGGGGGGCTTCTCATGTGATGAGGGACTCTGATTTGATGGGGTACTCTCATGAATAGGGGTGACTCTGATGTAAAGGGGGGCTTCTCATGTGATGAGGGACTCTGATTTGATGGGGGGGGCTACTTTCATGAGTAGGGGTGACTCTGATGTAAAGGGGGGCTTCTCATGTGATGAGGGACTCTGATTTGATGGGGTACTCTCATGAGTAGGGGTGACTCTGATGTAAATGGGGCTTCTCATGTGATGAGGGACTCTGATTTGATGAGGTACTCTCATGAATAGGGGTGACTCTGATGTAAAGGGGGCTTCTCATGTGATGAGGGACTCTGATATGATGGGGTACTTTCATGAGTAGGGGTGACTCTGATGTAAAGGGGGGCTTCCGATGTGATGAGGGACTCTGATTTGATGGGGTACTGTCATGAACAGCAGGGACCCTGGTGTAAAAGGGGGGGGGGCTTTGATGAGAGGGGGACTCTGACATGATGGGGGACTTCTGATGTGATGGGGGCTCTCTGCTGTGATGAGGGACTCTGGTTTGATGGGGTGCTTTCATGAGTAGGTAGGATGCTTGTGTTGGGGGGGGGCTCTGATGTGATGGGGGGACCAGCGATGTGAAGGTGGAGGGTTGGATATGAAATAAATTGCATCAAGGTGTGAATTGTCCCAGGCTCACGAATAGGGGTGACTCAGATGTGATGGGAGACTCTAAAGTGATGTGATGAGGGACTCTGGCTTGATGGGTACTTTCATGAATGGGGGGGGAACACTAGTGTTAAGGTGGACTCTGATGGGATGGGGAACTCATGTGATGGGAGACCAGGGGCGGACTGACCATTTGGAAACTTGGGCACTGCCCGAGGGCCCGGGGTCACTAGGGGGCCCCATGAGATGCCCCTGGTACCTTTTTCATAGGCTCTTTTGAGTTTGGGCAAGGACACAGGGGCCCCATGATTTCCTATTGCCCTGGGGCCCCATGAGTTGTCAGTCCGCCCCCAGTTGGGGGTCAGTCGCAGCAGACAATCGGAGTCGTTCCGGTGATGGAGTCCAGGCGATGGCGGGGAAGCATCTGTGCCGCGTTCCGCTCGGCTGGCGTGACGATTCTCCGTGTAACAGCTGATTAGCCCCCTAATGCCGTTCTCTCTGCTAACGACCTGCGACGAGGCGGGCGGCCCCGCCATCTCCACCTTCTGCTTCCTTCCGTGGGCTGCGCCTCGCAGGAGAATCGCAGTAAAACGCAGAACTCTTCCCTGGCCCGGCGGGATTTCTTCTCACTCGCAGCATGCGCCTGAAATTGGGTGAAATTCGGAGAAACGCAGGCGGTGTCTGTGGAGGTGCAGCTCGTTGAGGTGCGATATTGTGCATTTTTAACCCCTTCGTGTCCAAAATCACACAAACCTGAATCCCCCCCTTAACTGATGTGATGAGAGGACCTCTGATGTGATGGGGGAACCTCTGATGTGATGAGAGGACCTCTGATGTGATGGGGGAACCTCTGATGTGATGAGAGGACCTCTGATGTGATGGGGGAACCTCTGATGTGATGAGAGGACCTCTGATGTGATGGGGGAACCTCTGATGTGATGATGAGAGGACCTCTGATGTGATGGGGGAACCTCTGATGTGATGAGAGGACCTCTGATGTGATGGGGGAACTTCTGATGTGATGAGAGGACCTCTGATGTGATGGGGGAACCTCTGATGTGATGAGAGGACCTCTGATGTGATGAGAGGACCTCTGATGTGATGAGAGGACCTCTGATGTGATGGGGGAACCTCTGATGTGATGAGAGGACCTCTGATGTGATGGGGGGAACCTCTGATGTGACGGGGGAACTTCTGATGTGATGAGAGGACCTCTGTTGTGATGGGGGACCTCTGATGTGACGGGGGAACTTCTCATGTGATCGGGAACCTCTGATGTTATTGGGGAACCTCTGATGTGATGGAAGACCTCTGATGTGATGGGGAACCTCTGATGTGATGGGGGAACCTCTGATGTGATGGGAGACCTCTGATGTGATGGGGGAACCTCTGATGTGATGGGGGAACCTCTGATGTGATGGGAGACCTCTGATGTGATGAGAGGACCTCTGATGTAACGAGGAGACCTCAGATGCGATGGGGTAACCTCTGATGTGACGAGGAGACCACAGATATGATGGGGGAACCTCTGATGTGATGAGAGGACCTCTGATGTAAAGGGGGAACCTCTGATGTGATGGGGGAACCTCTGATGTGATGAGAGGACCTCTGATGTGATGGGGGAACCTCTGATGTGATGGGGGAACTTCTGATGTGATGAGAGGACCTCTGCCAGGGAGACCTCTGATGTGACGAGGAGACCACAGATGTGATGGGGGAACCTCTGATGTGATGGGGAAGATCTGATGTGATGGGGGAACCTCTGATGTGATGGAGAACATCTGATGTGATGGGGAGACCTCAGATGTGATGGGGAGACCTCTGATGCAAAGGGGGAACCTCTGATGTGATGGGGAAACCTCAGATGTGATGGGGGAACCTCAGTTGTGATGAGAGGACTTCTGATCTGATGAGAAGACTTCTGATGTGATGGGGGAACCTCTGATTTGATGAGGGGACTCATGAAAACAGGGGACTCTGATGTGAAGGGGGAACTCTGATGTAAAGGGGGGGGGGTTTCGTAAGGGGGGGGGGGCTTCTGATGTGAAGTTAATTACATCAAAGCAGTGGTTTGCATTGTCCCAATCTCACGTTTCCCGATAACGTTCATTTTTTTTATCACCGTTCTCCGGGGTGCCTCTCGATTCTGCGCACTTTGGAAGGTCGCTGTGAGGCGGAGCCTCCACAATATTCTTGTAATAATGGAGAGCAGAAAATAATTCCACACCAAACATCCAGATTCGCTGTATTTGCATTCCATAAAGAAAGGCCGACACATTTCTGGGGGTTCCTAAGGGGGCCTTTCATCAGGCTAAAAAAGAAAAGAATTACATTCAATCTAAAATAATGAAAAATAAAAATGAATCAATAATAAATCGAAGAAGAAATCTGCTGGAGGAGAATGAGCTGCAATGAGAACAGCGGGAGCACAGGCGAGAAATGATGGAGTGAGACATTGTAACAATCGTGTAATCAGTGAAACCGACGTGATTCGCCAGAGGATCTACGGGAAATAGTAACTAAAAGACAAGAGAAGAGTTTAGCTGGGAACTCGGTGGGGGGTAATAACGAGGTTTACAAGGTGAAGTACTTGAAGTAGGAGAAGGATCGGCTTTTCTCAACATTTTTACCAAAGAGGAACTCTTAAACAATTATCAGGTCTTGGGGAACCCCTACTAAAATCAATTGATAGAGGTCGGTGGAACAAATGTCCCTTACATTGGGGGTCAGTGGGAAGAATGTCCCTTACATTGGTGGTCCGTGGGAAGAATGCCCCTTACATTGGTGATCAGTGGGAAGAATGTCCCTTACATTGGTGATCAGTGGGAAGAATGTCCCTTACATTGGGGGTCAGTGGGAAGAATGTCCCTTACATTGGGGGTCAGTGGGAAGAATGTCCCTTACATTGGGGGGTCAGTGGGAAGAATGCCCCTTACATTGGGGATCAGTGGGAAGAATGCCCCTTACATCGGTGATCAGTGGGAAGAATGCCCCTTACATCGGGGGTCAGTGGGAAGAATGTCCCTTACACTGGTGATCAGTGGGAAGAATGCCCCTTACATTGGTGGTCAGTGGGAAGAATGTCCCTTACATCGGTGATCAGTGGGAAGAATGCCCCTTACATCGGGGGTCAGTGGGAAGAATGTCCCTTACATTGGGGGGTTAGTGGGAAGAATGTCCCTTACATTGGTGGTCAGTGGGAAGAATGCCCCTTACATTGGTGGTCAGTGGGAAGAATGCCCCTTACATTGGTGGTCAGTGGGAAGAATGTCCTTACATTGGTGGTCAGTGGGAAGAATGCTCCTTACATTGGGGGTCAGTGGGAAGAATGTCCCTTACATTGGGGGTCAGTGGGAAGAATGTCCCTTACATTGGGGGTCAGTGGGAAGAATGCTCCTTACATTGGGGGTCAGTGGGAAGAATGTCCCTTACATTGGGGGTCAGTGGGAAGAATGCTCCTTACATTGGGGGTCAGTGGGAAGAATGTCCCTTACATTGGGGGTCAGTGGGAAGAATGTCCCTTACATTGGGGGTCAGTGGGAAGAATGCTCCTTACATTGGGGGTCAGTGGGAAGAATGTCCCTTACATTGGGGGTCAGTGGGAAGAATGCTCCTAACATTGGGGGTCAGTGGGAAGAATGTCCCTTACATTGGGGGTCAGTGGGAAGAATGTCCCTTACATTGGGGGGTCAGTGGGAAGAATGCTCCTTACATTGGGGGTCAGTGGGAAGAATGTCCCTTACATTGGGGGGTCAGTGGGAAGAATGCTCCTTACATTGGTGGTCAGTGGGAAGAATGTCCCTTACATTGGGGTCAGTGGGAAGAATGTCCCTTACATTGGGGGGTCAGTGGGAAGAATGCTCCTTACATTGGGGGTCAGTGGGAAGAATGTCCCTTACATTGGGGGGTCAGTGGGAAGAATGTCCCTTACATTGGGGGTCAGTGGGAAGAATGTTTCTTACATTGGTGATCAGTGGGAAGAACGTCCCTTACATTGGGGGGTCAGTGGGAAGAACGCTCCTTACATTGGGGGTCAGTGGGAAGAACGCTCCTTACATTGGGGGTCAGTGGGAAGAACGCTCCTTACATTGGGGGTCAGTGGGAAGAACGCCCCTTACATTGGGGGTCAGTGGGAAGAACGCCCCTTACATTGGGGATTAGTGGGAAGAATGTCCCTTACATTGGGGGGTCAGTGGGAAGAATGTCCCTTACATTGGGGGTCAGTGGGAAGAATGTCCCTACAATGGCGGTCAGTGGGAAGAATGTCCCTTACATTGAGGGTCAGTGGGGAAGAATGTCCCTTACATTGGGGGTCAGTGGGAAGAATGCTCCTAACATTGGGGGTCAGTGGGAAGAATGTCCCTTACATTGGGGGTCAGTGGGAAGAATGTCCCTTACATTGGGGGTCAGTGGGAAGAATGCTCCTTACATTGGGGGTCAGTGGGAAGAATGTCCCTTACATTGGGGTCAGTGGGAAGAATGTCCCTTACATTGGGGGGTCAGTGGGAAGAATGTCCCTTACATTGGGGGTCAGTGGGAAGAATGTCCCTTACATTGGGGGGTCAGTGGGAAGAATGTCCCTTACATTGGGGGTCAGTGGGAAGAACGTTTCTTACATTGGGGATCAGTGGGAAGAACGTCCCTTACATTGGCGGTCAGTGGGAAGAACGTCCCTTACATTGGGGGGTCAGTGGGAAGAATGCTCCTTACATTGGGGGTCAGTGGGAAGAATGCCCCTTACATTGGGGGTCAGTGGGAAGAATGCCCCTTACATTGGGGGTCAGTGGGAAGAATGCCCCCTTACATTGGGGATTAGTGGGAAGAATGTCCCTTACATTGGGGGGTCAGTGGGAAGAATGCTCCTTACATTGGGGGTCAGTGGGAAGAATGCTCCTTACATTGGGGGTCAGTGGGAAGAATGTCCCTTACATTGGTGACCAGTGGGAAGAATGTCCCTTACATTGGTGGTCAGTGGGAAGAATGTCCCTTACATTGGTGATCAGTGGGAAGAATGTCCCTTACATTGGTGGTCAGTGGGAAGAATGTCCCTTACATTGGGAGTCAGTGGGAAGAATGTCCCTTACATTGGTGGTCAGTGGGAAGAATGTCCCTTACATTGGTGGTCAGTGAGAAGAATGTCCCTTACATTGGTGGTCAGTGGGAAGAATGTCCCTTACATTGGTGGTCAGTGGGAAGAATGTCCCTTACATTGGTGGTCAGTGGGAAGAATGTCCCTTACATTGCGAGTCAGTGGGAAGAATGTCCCTTACATTGGGGGTCAGTGGGAAGAATGTCCCTTACATTGGGGTCAGTGGGAAGAATGTCCCTTACATTGGGGGGTCAGTGGGAAGAATGTCCCTTACATTGGTGGTCAGTGGGAAGAATGCTCCTTACATTGGGGGTCAGTGGGAAGAATGCGCCTTACATTGGGGTCAGTGGGAAGAATGTCCCTTACATTGGTGGTCAGTGGGAAGAATGTCCCTTACATTGGTGGTCAGTGGGAAGAATGTCCCTTACATTGGGGGTCAGTGGAAAGAATGTCCCTTACATTGGTGGTCAGTGGGAAGAATGTCCCTTACATTGGTGATCAGTGGGAAGAATGTCCCTTACATTGGTGATCAGTGGGAAGAATGTCCCTTACATTGGTGGTCAGTGGGAAGAATGTCCCTTACATTGGGGGTCAGTGGGAAGAATGTCCCTTACATTGGTGGTCAGTGGGAAGAATGCCCCTTACGTTGGCACTCAGTGGGAAGAACGCCCCTTACATTGGTGGTCAGTGAGAAGAATGCTCCTTACATTGGTGGCCCGTGGGAAGAATGCCCCCCTTATAGTGGCAGTCAGTGAGAAGAATGCTTCTTAAAGTGGTGGTCAAGATGCCCCTCTTATGGCTGAAAAGATTATTGGTTTCATGCAGCTGGATCTGCCAAGTGGCATTGGCTTTAAAACTATGAAGGCATCATCAGATGGGAGGTCAACTAGCCACAGCTTGAGGAACCCCTAGACACCTCTGAAAGAACCCTAGTTAAGAATGGCTGGTCCAACCCATAAAAACGAATTTAAAGATAAAAAGTCTGGAGTTATCCTCCACAGTACTTTTCTGCCATTAGATGTCCTCAGTCTTCGAGGCTGAAGCCAACATTACTTAACCCACATCCTTTGAACCCAGGATGTAAATGGATGGCCCCTCTAGACGACTTCATCAAATAGCCTGGGCTCAGAGTACTGCTGCCGTGTACAACGCTCACACATTATCTGTGCAGGAATTATCTGTCTGTTGAGAGACATTTTAGACTGTTGTGTTTCAACCAGGGTGCTGCGGCAATCTGGAGTGCAGCCGGGTTCCCTGGGGTGCAACAAGGATGGGACCCAGTTTGTCCTGGATTAGCATCATGATCTGCCATGGTACAGGAGGGTGGGGGACTGTTGTCATTTGGGAGGGGGGGCACTGTTATCGGGGGGGAAGGGGCTCTGTGGTGAGAGGGACCCACGTATGGGTGCCTCTTATGTATGATGGGTTGCCTCTAATGGGAAGAGGGGATCAATGATGCCCCTGTGTACAAAGCCTGCTCCATAAAGACATGGTTTGGTGTGGAGGAACTCAAAAGCCTTGAGTTCAACCCTAATGAACACCTTTGGGATGAGCTGGAACAAGCCAGGTCTGCTTGGCCAACATCTCCATAAAGACATGGTTTGACCAGTTTGGTGTGGAGGAAATTGAGTGGCCTGCACAAAAGCCCTAACCTCAACCTTACTGAACACCTTCGAGATGAATTGGAAAAAGCCAGGTCTTCTCATCCAGCATCTCCATAAAGACATGGTTAAACCAATTTTATATGGAGGAAGTCGAGTTGGCTTCAGAGTGCTGACCTCAACCAAACACTTTTGGGATGAATTGGAACAAGCCAGGGCTTCTCATTCAACATCTCCATAAAGACATGGTTCGATGTCGAGGAACTTGAGTGGGCTTCAGAGACTTTACCTCAACTGAACCCCTTTGGGAATAAATGGAACAAGCCAGGACTTCCCTTCCAACATCTCTATAAAGATGTGGTTTGATGAGTTTGGTCTGGAGGAACTTGAGTGGGCTTTAGAGTCCTGAACTCAACTGAACCCCTTGGGAATAATTGGAACAAGCCAGGACTTCACTTCCAACATCTCTACAAAGATGTGGTTTGATGAGTTTGGTCTGGAGGAACTTGAGTGGGCTTTTAGAGTCCTGAACTCAACTGAACCCCTTTGGGAATAATTGGAACAAGCCAGGACTTCACTTCCAACATCTCTATAAAGACATGGCTTGATGAGTTTGGTGTGAATGAACTCAAGTGTCTTGCACAGAGCCCTGACTTCAACTCTACTGAACACCTTCAAGATGAATTGGAACAAACCAGGTCTTCTCATTCAACATCACCATAAAAAAATGGTGTGATAAGTATGGTGTAGAGGGACTTGAGTGGGCTTTAGAGTCTGAACTCAACTGGTCCCCTTTGGGAATAATTGGAACAAGCCAGGTCTTCTCATCCCACATCTCCATCAAGACATGGCTTAATGAAATTGGTGTGGAGGAACTCAATTGTCCTGCACAGAGCCCTGACCTCAGTCCTACCAAACACCTTTGAGATGAATTGGCACAAGCCAGGTCTTCTCATCCAGCATCTCCATAAAGATATAGTTGTACCAATTTGATGTGGAGGAAATTAAGTAGGCTTCAGAGCCCTGACCTCAACCCTTGATGTGGAGGAACTTGAGTGGGCTTCAGAGCCCTGACCTCAACCCTACTGAACACCTTTGAGATGAATTGGCACAAGCCAGATCTTCTCATCCAACATCTGCATAAACATATGGTTTTACCAATTTGATGTGGAGGAACGTGATTGGGCTTCAGAGCCCTGACCTCAACCTCTGATGTGGAGGACCTTGAGTGGGCTTTGAGTGGGACCTTGAGAACGGGTCGGGTTAATAAACAGATCCATGTCTTTCGTCCCTTGCTTGTCCCTCCAGAGCCGATCATTGTCATCAAGTTAGGTGACATTGGGCAAAAAAAAAAAAGTTTGTAGAGCACACCTCATTTGCTGAGAATAAACCAGTTCTGGCAGCTGCTAATTAATTAGATTCTTAATTGCTGATGAGAATTAATCTGCCTTATATGTCAATGTCACCGTGCGTTTCCGGAGCCGTCACCTGAGCCCTCTGTTTGTTCACATTAGGCGCTCGCCATTGTCACAGCCCCGAGCGCCGGATGGCGATCAATTCCTATAAGTAATGCAAAGCGATGAATCCACAAAGGACTTTTATTAAAATCCTGTTTTATCGCAAAGGTGATGATTGCGACTCTGAAGACACCGCCATCCATTTAAATCGCATGACCTTCCTTGGCAGGAGAGGCCTCCCGTTCCTTCCATCACCAGGGACGGCTTTGCCCCATTTACAGTGAAAGCCGATGAATTCCTTTAGATGATCCTTTCATTATATTTACAGAGAAAATGTCAGAAAATCGAAAAACTGACTTCTTGAAATCCTCAAAGGACAAAAAATATATATATA